CTACTGATGTTTTGAAAAATATTCTATTTTATTACAATTATTTTATCCCTGGCCAGTGTTGCACAATAGTTAGTGTCAGTTAGTGTCAGCCAGTGCACCAAAGGGTCTCGGGCTCAATTCCTGGTCAAGGGCACATACCTGGGTTGCAGGTTCCCAGCTCTGGTCAGATGAGTGTGGGAGGCAACCAATTGATGTGTCTCTCTCACATCGATGTTTTTCTCTCTCTAAAAATCTATGGAAAATATATCTTTGAGTGAAGTTTAACAGCAAAGAAAATTGTTTAATAAAATAAATTTTTTATTTATATTTTGCAATACAAAATTGATTCATTTGATCATGGCTATATGTAATTTTACCAGTTATAGCATCTGCATTGTCATTTCTCTTTGAGACCATTTAAACTGGCCAGTTTTTATAGCTCTAAATTTTGCCAAGAAGATATGTTTTTACAAATAAATATGATCATATGTATCATTAGTTCTATTTTTGCTTTATTACACTTAATTTTCACACACAAAAGACTACTCATTTTGGTAAATGACTGATAGTTATATTTGTTTCTAAGAAATTCTGAACACAACCTTTTAGATATTGTAGGATTTCTTTCCAAAGTAAAAGGATGCACAAAGTTTTTTGTTTTGTTTTGTTTTGTTTTAATTTTGTTTCTTTATTGATTTTAGAGAGAGGAGGGGAGAGGGAGAGATAGAAACATTGATGAGAGAGAACATCAACTGGCTGCCTCCTGCACACCCCCCACTGGGGATTTGTCCCACAACCTGGGCATAGGATGCATGAAGTTTTTAATTTCAACAAACGAAGCCAGACACACGAGGACGCACATTGTGTGATTTCAATTATATGAAGTGTCCAGAATAGGCAATCCATAGAGACCGAAAACAGATGAGTGGTTGAGCGAATGGAGACACGGGGAGTGACTGATTAAAAGATTTTTTTTTTTGGAGATGAAAATGTTCTGGAACTAGACAATGGTGATGGTGCACAACATTCTGAATGTACTGATCACCACTGCATTATACACTTTAAAATGTTAAAATAGTGAACTTTAAGTGAATTAAAAGAAACTTTAAGTAAATGGAAAATGAAAGATCTGAGGCTCAAATCCACAGAATCAAGATGACCTACCAGAAAAGAGAGAGCTGCAAACCTAATCTGGATCTTTTTTTTTTTTAAGTCACAGCCATCTTGGTTTTCTGTCCATGCAGTCAACCCTAATTTTAACTAACACAAGAGTCATCAAGACACTGTCTAGGGCTCAGATTAATCCTTTTAAAAATTTAAATGTTGACAATGTTCATTGTAGAAAATGAATACAAACTATAAATCAACCATAATTCCACTGTCTGGAAATAATCTGTTCAGGTCTTTTTTTCCCCTATATAAGCATAAACTTTTCCTTAAAATGAGATTAGATATTGTTTTGTAGTATATTCAACTACATCATTTTATTAGCTATATACCTACCATTTCTAAACCTTTTACTATGTACAGGAAACATTCTATGTGCTTTAAATATATTAACTCATTTAATCATCCGAAAATCCCATGGAGTCGGTATTGCTATTTTGATTTTAAAGATGAAAAAACTGGAAAAGAGGGCAAGTAGCCTTTCCAAAGTCCACAGAGAGAAAGTGGCAGAGTCAGGAGGCAAATTCAAACACTCTGTCTCCAGAGTCCCTGCTGCTCACCCACGAAGACCTAATATTTGACCAAATCAATTCTGCTGGACACTTGGAATTTATCTAGTTTTACTATTACAAAAAAAAAAAAAAAAAAAAATCAACATTACTGAGGCCAAATATTTACACACAAAAATAATAAAATCGCAATAAAAGTTCCGGAAATTGAAGTTGTGGTTCAAATTATATTAGAATTTAAAGCTATTAATGCACCTGATAACTTTTTGACACGGTCAGCCTTATATTTGTCAGAAAGCATGTACGTGCACGCATACGAACACACACACACACACCTGGGGAAAGATTCACTGTGAAGCTCACAGCACTATAATCTGGTTGTAATTAAAGCTCAGAAGTTATATATCCTGTAAACGGCAGAAGCAAGGTTGGAATATTGCTGGATTTTCTTTTTAACTCCTGATGTTTCTCCTTGACTACACTGCTCCTCCAAGTAAGAACCCTGTATCGGCATTTTACTTCTGGTGCACTCTGTAATTACAATTCTAATTCTTCTTTACTCAAACAAAATCAAATGATAGATAGATAGATAGATAGATAGATAGATAGATAGATAGATAGACTGATATAGATGGATATAGATACATAATCATTTGCCCCAAATAGCAATCTCTCGCAAATAGTATAATATATATTAATAATGTTGACAATTTGATAATTACCCATTCTCTAAAATATTCTCCAGTAATACAATAAAAGCATTACTGAGAATCTCTCTTTTCATGCCAATCTTAACCACAATTTTGTAACATATTTACCATGCAATAACTTAAACTCTGAAAACAACAAAGACAAGAAATCAAATTAACAGTGTTTTATTAAATCCTGTGTCTGTAAATATTACTTTACACATCCAATGTTTGCTAGTTTAACCTATTTTAAAGTAACTTTTTTAATAGCAAACAAACCTCACTACATTTTATACAGACAGTTAACTGCTTCTTTATAAAAATAAGAAAAAACAATCTGTACATTTACATTAAAAATTCAAGAACCGGAGAAATGAAAGCTTTAAAAAGATATTTTCTTTCATACTAAAACATGGTAATTATCACCTTACACATAAAAAGAAAGAATACTACATGTTGCAGATGTTTACATTAAAAATAAGAAAACTTTGCAAGTACAATTACCCTTTCAACAGTCTAAGTCTAAAAATCTAGATTCCAGGGGCAAATAAGGAAACCAAAAATATAACATCAAGTAAAAAAAACTGTAGACCACACGTAACAAAAGACCTCTCTTAGGGCACAGAGGGCTGCGTAGGAATAAAGCATTTCCCACAAATGCCTGTTTGTTCTGCACAACTAGTCCAGGCCCATTCTGTAACTGCTTTCAGACTCATCACGCCGTCAGCTCTCTTCTCCTGGCCTCCACACTCCAAATAAGGTGAGATGCAGAGAAGGGTTAGCAGTACTCACCAAAATCAAGACAGCTGCCACTGGCCAGAGAAAAGAAGGAAAAGGAAGGGCCTGGTCTAGAAAAAACTACCAAGCAAACAATGTTGCCTTTGCTACCACTCACATCCCTTTGTTGGCCTCTGTCCTTGCCCTTGAAGGCCTGGGTTTTCATGATGCTCTTGTCTGTCCAAATGCTCCCTTAGGTTTGTCCTCTCCCAAACTTCCCAGAGTCCCCATATATATATATATACACACACACACATACATACAGTTAGTTCAAACTATATTCCTATAGAACACTGTCACTAATTGGCTAGCTCAACAAATTCTGTCCCTATAGTCAAATAAAGAATTTCTTTGGGTGGGGAAAAATAGGTCCCAAATCCGTAGCTGCAAAATTTTAAAGTTAATTTTAATTCTTTTTCTTCCAAAATTTCCTTCAGTTAGTGATACCGAATACAGGGATGGGCAAAAGTGGGTTCATAGTTGTGAGTACGCAAAATGCAAAGTTTATTCTTGTGTTATTATTTATTAATTATTCGATTGCTTATTTGTATTACAACTGCAAACCTACTTGTGCCTCTAAATTTCTAGTTTTCAAACTATCACTTCAAGCACATATACAACAATGTGATTAGATTTACCATTAATTTCAGTAATCACTACTTTAAGTTTGTAACATCATTGCCTTGAAGTATCCTGCAGGCCTCCCTGAGACTCTGTCACTGTAAACAAATTTAAGCAACATCTTAGAAGATACTAAATTACACCTAGGGGTTAAGTTTCCCTACATTCTTTTCATTCTTTACAACATTTTGTAGTATCTGCCTTAATAAGGAGTAATGCATTTTTTTTAAAAAATGGAAGTGAATGAAAATGCATGTTTATCCCTCATTGCTACTTATAACTGAGATAGGAGACTGTTTTGAGGTGGTTTTCTTTTTTCAGATTATAAGGCATAACCACAATCTGTCTAAGGATAACATATTCTAACTTCAAATGACTACTATTGAGAAGAAATAAGAGTCACACGCACTAAAGTCGAAAACAAAAATACGAAAGTACAATACTCAAGAGATAAAAGGCTACTTTTTTTCCAGCATAATTTTCATTGCTGGCAAGTTTTTGATAGCAGTTCTGAATCTCAGGGAAAAAGGTATTAAAATCTGGGATTATGTTCTCAATAAAAGATTTTTAGTATTTTTCATTAAAATAGGGGCATTAACTCTCTGTATGGTGAGTATAGTTTTGCTTCTTGAGATTAAGGAAACTTACATTCCTCTTATAAACCATAAAACACATTTTCAAAAGCATAAAAATAACAATTCTTGGTTTACATGTCCTAGGGTCGTTCAAAGTTGTGGTTACGAGAACTTTATTAGGGTGATCAAGCAGGTAAGACTGTTCTTTATTAGCCTGGTGCTAACCAGAAGGAAAACAAAGTTCTAAAAATTGTAGGAGCTACTCACTAGGTACTACTGATTTTTTTAGAGCTAAAAAAATCCAACAAAATGTGTCATCATGTTTGAAAAATCCTACTCCACTTCAATCTAAATCTCAAACAAAAACTGCATTTCAGCCCAGATAGATGTTTTGCTATATTCAATCAAATACAGTTTAGCTATTATTGGACTAATGTTTACCCAATATATTTACCGGGAAAATATCTGTAAAGGAGAACAGATCCTTTATAAACTTTAATTCCAATGCTACAGCATGAGATCTGTTAATTGTCTATTTACTCGCTTTAAAGAAGGCAAAAATCTGTCTTAAGATTTAAACTTGATAGAAAAGAAAATCAATAAATTGCTTGAAAAATGCAAATTTGTAATGAGCATAGTTCAAAATTTAGACAAATGCATATGCATTCATATTCATATGTATTCATATAGATGTATTTAGAAATTGAAATTGAAATTGAATTTTAAAGTATCCCTTTCAGAAAGCTCCAGAATGCCTGACACCATGTCTAACTGAAGCTCTGCAACAGTTATCTCACTGTGCATGTTTCTGCTAAGGCAGCAAATTTAGCTTCCAAATTATTTAAAAAGTCAAGACCCTCTTCTTCCTGTTTTTCACTGCAGCAACCTATCGAACCAACTGGAGATCCTCTTCCTTCGTAGTTATATGTAAGAACATAATCTTGAGATGAGAGGTTGTTTTCATTCTGATTATATAGGTGCAATTTCTGTAAAACAAACAAATAAAAAAAAAAGGACTGCATTATTGTTTTAAACACACAAACATATAAACATAAAATTTATTTTTTTATTTACCTTTTATGTTTAATTTTTAACCAGTGTGTCCTCTAATGGAGTCCTACATACAAAAAATGCACATGATTGGTCTATATCACAACCATACCATCAAGTCAGTATATCTTACATTTCTACCAATCCATACAAATAAAAAATTATGTATATAAATGTTATATTTAAGTACATTAAATTATAATTAAATGCTCATCTCTAAATTTTATATCTAGAAGCCAGGCTAGTCCACAGGATGGTGACAATATGCATAATGATTAGAAATTTGAGCTTAAATGGTCAACCGGTCCTGATTTTGATTCATACCTCCAGCTTCACCAACTAGCTATATGACTATGAGCAAGTTAGGAAATATTTTGTGTCCCTCTTCTGACATCTAAAAAGGGAATATAGACAGTGACTACCTCACAGGATCAGTTTTAAATGACATAGTAGTGCATGAAAATAGATGGAGAGCAGGCAGACAGCTCTGGAGGGGGGCAGGTAAGGGAGGGGGAAGGACTGAGAAAAAAACAAAACGAGAAAGGACTCATGGACATGGACAGGTGTGGTGACTGTAGAGGGGTGGAGGTAAAAGAAGGTATATGGTGGATAAATGGTGAGGGGAAAAAGTAAGTAAAATAAAGAAAAAAATATTATTCTTCTGCCCAGCACATAGTAAACAGGTAACAGACATTCATTAAAATTGTTACATGTTACGTGCAGTTAGAACCTGGGAAGTATCATCCTAAGTGAAACAAGCCAAACAGAGAAAGACAAGTATCATATGATCTCACTTATTTGTGGAATATAATGAACAAAGCAGTCTGAGGAATGGGGTAGTCCCATAGACATGGAAGTGGGGTACAGACTGACAATCCCCAGAAGAGGGGGTGGTGGGGGAGAGATAAACCACAGAACTTATATGCATGTATGCATGAACAATGGACATGGACAACAAAGCTGGGGACAGGGCGGGGGGGGGGGGAAGGGGGAATCAGTGGGGGGAAAAGGAGAAACATCTGTAACAAAAATTAATTAATAAAAAAAAAAGAAAGTAGGTAACAATTACCTCACTGGCTTCAGAAACAAGTTGAAAAGAGCTAAAACATGACTAAGTAGAGAGGCACAAAAAATTTCAATAGAATCTAAAATAACATAACTCACATGGCAAAAACCTGGCCTTTGGAATGGAGGGGCCAAGTATTCAGTCCCAACTACCCCCACTGTCTGTACCCAGCCTGCCTGCTGAGTTGTCAAACTCCTGTGCCTGTTCCTGCCCTCACCTGTGTGCATTCCTTCTCTAACCCGAGCTCATTTTGTCTTGTGTTATCAAGTGTCTTCCTTTATGACCATTTCAGCCTCACATCCCGTTACCTGATGTGCACATTGGAGAACACTCCTAAGAATGCATCATAAGCTTTGCTCCTTCCCAACCTGATATTACATGAAACTGACTGTCTAGAAACAGAAAAAGGATTAACACTTGAATTCCTTGAAAAAAATATGCTGCAGACCTATGATAAGCTACAGCCACATCACAATATTGCCCATTTGCAGTCCATCAAAGGATTAAGGGCTTCCGGTCCAGGGCTTGCACTGTAAAGGCACCGGTACCCTTTGATCAAAGAAATGAAAACTTGCCCTGGCTGGTGTGGTTCAGTTGGTTGAGCATCATCCCATGCACCAAAAGGTTGCTGGTTCAATTCCTGGTCAGGGCACCTGCCAGGGTTAAGGGCTCCATCCCTTGTTGGGGGCATGCAGAAGGCAGCCTATCTATGTATTGATCTCACATCAATGTTTCTCTCTCTCTCTCTCTCTTTCCCTCTCCTTTTAAAATTAATGAAAAAAATTTTTTTTAAAAAAAGGAAGTGAAAACTTAGTACCAAAAAGAAATGTAATCCAGTGGTTCTCTAGCTGGGCTGCTCATTTGAACCACCAGAGGAGCTTTAGCACACACACACAAAAAAAACAAAACAAAAACAGTTAAATCAGAACCTTTCAAGGTGGTGTTCAGGTATTAGTATTTTTTAAAAGCTCCCCAAGGGGTCTTGATGTACCATCAGGACTGCAAATCCCTTCTTTAATCTCTCCTTTCTTTCACATCCTAGCTTTCCTCTGAATTAAGCACATATTGCGTGGCATTTTTTGCATTAAAAACAGTTCAGCCAGATGATATTATTCAATGTTAATCCTAGGATTGTGTGCAGATGCTTTGTTTTCACAGAGAAATAGAGATTTGATGTAGGGAGTCTTGTGATGGGGAGTGATGAGGATTTTTCATATTCTTCCATATTGAAAGAGCTGCTGAGCTAAAAACACACCTGAAACTAAAATGTGACTTAAATGAAGGATATTAAAAGACTGCCATTTTCATGAGATTTCATCAATTAAAGGAATATGGCAGATGAAATAAAATCCCTTTTATATTAGATAATGTGCCACAATCAAAGAGCAAGAGGAAAAAATAACCAGAGAGTGAGAAAGAAAGAGGAAACCATGAAGAATAGGGAAAAGCAGTTTCTCAAAAAATGTGTTAATTTCAATTTCCTATTGTTCTCCATTTGGACATTATAACTGTAGAGTGAAATCATTTGGGGAAACTCACTTCACGAAGACGAGGCTGAGTGAAATTATGCCACTCTGAGTTAGTGTATCTGGAGCTGTCCACGCACACGTGTCCGGTCCTGCTGGAATCCAGGGTGTGATGATGACCCCGGCACGACTCCAAGGTATGGTGCCCTCCTCCCTTCATCATTTCAATCGTTTCCAGCCCTCCATTTTTCACTCCTGATCCCATAGTGCCATTAAAGCCTTGACTAGTGTTGTTGACGGTCTGGGTCGTAAACCCATTGGCAGAACACTGAAATACAATAAAATAAGACCATTCATATTGGGAGAAAATGGATTCCAAGGAAAGTCATGAGGAGGCAAGGGAGAAAGAACAATGATTCAACCTTTTATTCATCCATTCCTTCATCTACTCATTCATTCCACAGACATTTATTACTTTCCAAGTATGTGCTCAGTCTAGGGATGGATGCAAAGACGGACAAGGTCATTCAGTGACTCCAAGAAGTTATTATTCCAATAAGGCAGAACACAGACAGTTACTTTAAGAATGGGATTATTTGATATACAGGTGAACACAGGATGTTATAGAAGCACAGAGAAAGAACATCAAAATTCAAATCCAGAGAGGTTCACTGTAGCAGACTTGGAAAACTGAGCTAAAGGTCTCCTACTGAGAAATGGAAATAAAAATACACTACTGCAGGGGGAGTCTACGGCAAAGGATGCTTTAGGGGTTCAGCCAGTTGAGAATGGCTACCACATAGAATTCAGAGGGAGAACGGAAGCTGGGAAGGTTGTGAAAGGCCAGAGGACATAAAGACCTGCCTGCCATGCTTAAAAATGTAGACTATCCTGAGATTATGAGGACTCAAAGAAGGGTTTTCATAACAGGGGAGAAATATTTTTTAAATCATTCTAGGCAATGTGAAAGACAAATAGGAAAGAGACAAGTGTAGTGTCATGGAGATCAGAAAGGTCACTGAATTATTCTAAGTGAAAAATGATACAGACCTAAGCCAAAGTAGAAGCAATAATGATTTAAAGAAGTCAATGAACACCTTGGAGAGCTTACTCGTTGTTAGACAGATGAGACAGCAAAGGGAAAGGTCAGGAATAATTCCTATGTGTTCCGCTGTACAATTAGATTAATGATATATTCACGTTGAAATAGGGAAGAAGGAAGTGCTTGTGGGTGAGATGGGCATAGAAATTCAATTTTGGACATGGTAAACTTGTGGGACGTCCAAGATAAGTACATGAATATGGGGATCTGGAGCTCAGGTGTGAGATCGGAGCTGAAGATAGAATTCAGAGTCCTACCATCCAGGTGGTAGTTGAAGCCTCAGGAATAAATGACATCACCCAGATAAAACTATAAACTAAAAGAAAGGAGGGCTGAGATAAAACCACAAGCAAAAGCCCATTTGACCTGGAGGAGAAAGGAATTTGAGCTGTGACAATTGATCTGAAATAGCCAACGAGGGAACCAAGAGGCATGAGTCTGAAGCTATGCAAAGAGGGAGTGTGGTAAGGGGGTCAATGACCAAAGTAGAAAAAATAAAAGTCGTTTAAAAACTGGTTCAACTATGCCCAGCAGGTGTGGCTCAGTTGGTTGAGCGTGGTCCCATGCACCAAGAGGTCACAGGTCTGATTTCCAGTCAGGGCATATGCCCAGGTTTCAGGCTGGATCCCCAGTAGGGTTCATGCAGAAGGCAGTCCATCGATGTTTCTGTCATGGATGTTTCTATCTCTCCCTCTCCCTTCCTCTCTTTCTAAAGTCAATAAAATCAAATTTGAAAAAATAAACTGGTTCAAATAAAGTTAGCATCCACTGGATTCAAGTAAAAGTGACCACTGGTGATATCTGTCCAAAGAATTTCCAAGGAGTGCTGCATGAACGGAAAGTAATAACATAGTGATATCGAGTAGAAATCTTTCTTTCCAAAAGTTCAGTTTCAAAGAAAAAGAGCTATAGAGGGAAATTCAACACAGGTGAGAAGTTTAGTTATAGTGGTAACCTCGGTGTGTCAGTTCTAATCATAAACGGTTACGGCCGTGTCAATCTGGCGTTCCATCTCCTCAGCAATTTAATTTTTTAAAATTAATCTGCAGAGACTCTAACTAAACTGGAAGATTTTCAAGTTCAGGTGATTTACTGAACCTGAAGTGCATCTATAAAAGTCACACATACTATCTCACTGCCTTAGAAAAAAATATTGGGAAAGGAGAAATGAAAAGTAGCCATTTGGTGGCACTGCTATCCTATATCTTTTGCTTAGGTTGCTGCCAAATTTCTATTACAAATAAAAAATCCTGAATTTTAAATCCTGATAGTATAATTTTGTCATTGTAAATACATGTTCAGAGATCATCTCTCTAAGATAATGAGAAAAAAATGTAAAATAAACTAAAATGGAGACTCAGCCCACAGGGCCAGTTCACATCCTCTCTACTCTCCGTTCCTTCCAGCCACCTCTGAGTGCATTCCCCAGAGTCTATTCTCACAGATCAATAGTTCCTTCTATATGCCAGTGATTTCCAGATTCATTTTTCCAGTCCTGATTTTTCACCCAACGCCTAACCCCATCTGAATTCCTGTAACTTAAACTCAGACCCAAAACTAAAGCCATCACCTTTATTCATTGTACTAAAATGAGTTTATATATTCACTATGAAAGTTGGTTCCGTTTTTTAAAAAGTGGCCCTGAAATTATGTTCTGGTACAAACTGGTAATTCCAAGTCCTTTTAAGAAGTGTTCCTGACAGAGAACAGGTACCCAGGTGTGAGTATGATATGGTGAAGTACCTGATCAATACTATCAGCTCCGGCATCAAATGTAAAAGAACAAATATTAATTAAAGCTCACTCATTTCATGCTCAGATATAAAATAAGAACTTACTATTTATATGAGGACTAGCAAAAGAATGAACCACCGGGCCAGTGTGGCTCAGTGGTTGAGCATCACCCCATGCACCAAGAGGTTGTTGGCTCGATTCCCAGTCAGGGCACATGCCCAGGTTGTGGGCCAAATCCCCAGTGGGGGGCATGCAGGAGGCAGCCAATCAATGTTCTCCCTCATCGATGTTTCTATCCCTCTCTCCCTTCCTCTCTCTTTTAAATCAACAAATTTTAAAAAAAGAGAGAAAGAACCTATTTTCTGAATGGAGAGATAATTACATGGTTCCACATGTAGACATGTCAAATCTGGATGGGCCGTGCTTTTGTATGAGGGTGGGAGGATATGAAAGAGAGAAATAGTTGATGAAAAAGTGATCTTCACCTTGAGATATAAAAAATGCTTGATATGTAGTCATTGTTCCTGGCTATAGCATCTATCCTTTTGACTCCACATTTTATTTTGTTATTCAAAGGTAAACAATCTCATTATTTATACATTGAAAATATTTCTTATCCATCCCTGGTTTAATATCTCAATTACCATTATCCTAGCAATCTCACCCTTAGACTATCAAAAAATCCCAATCCCGCCCTGGCCGGTTTGGCTCAGCGGTTAGAGCATCGCCTATGGTCCAGAGAGACCCGGGTTCAGTTCCCACTAAGGGCATGTACCTCGGTTTGTTTGTCCCCGGCCCTGGTTGGGTTGTGTGAGTGGCAACCACTCGATGTGTCATGTTTCTCTCCCTCTCTCTCTCTCTCTCTCTGAACAAAATATGGAAAAATGTCCTCGAGTGAGGATAAAAAAAAAAAAAAATCCCAATCCCTTATCTTCCCCATCCCAGACACCTTCCTATTCTCAGTGCTCACCCTGCGGATTCAGCACCACACTGCTCACATTAGGCTACTTTCCTGAGGAAACCTTGACGGGCTCTACCTCACCAAAGAATAAATCTGAAACCTTCAGGGTGGGGTCTGTGAAAGTCCCGTATCCCACTCCTCTCATATCCTCTCAAAAAGCCTAACAAGTTTTAAGCCTCTATTCCAAAACATCATTTCTTCTATTTGAAATCAATTTATTCACTATTTGTTGAATAATCTCCAAACTTTGTCATCTCCTTTTGTGTTCTTTAGGCTGTCTTCCTCCTCTTTAGCTATTCCCAACATCTCTCCACTTTCAAACGCTTCTTATTCTTTAGATCCCAGAGTAATGAGTAACATGAACCTCTCTCACCAGTCTTCCTGATTGGTCCAGATGACATGAGTACATTTATGTATCATAAGTATCTTTGAATTCAGATGATGCTCTATCATACTGGGGCTAATGGTTTAATGGTATGTACCTGTTTATCTTCCTTATAAAAGTAGATTCTATTTCTCATAAATAAATTGAAATCTTTTTGAGGAAAGAATATGCCTTGTAAAATGTTTTTAATATACTTTACAAAAAACAAGCAGCATAGTGCCAAGGACTTCAAAGGTCCCAAAAATATATAAGAAAACACATGGGGCCTAGCTGGTGTGGCTCAGCGGACTGAGTATCATCCCATGGACTGAGAGGTCCTGGTTCCATTCCAGATCAGGGCACATGCCCAGGTTGTGGGCTCGATCCCCAGTAGGGGCGTGTTAGAGGCAGCCTATAGGTGTTTCTCTCTCGCATCAATATTCCTATCTCTTTCTAACAAATCAATAAAGGCATATTAAAAGAAAAAGACATTGGCAGTAATTTTCCAATCTCTTCCCACACACACACACACGCACTTTTTAAAAACATACACCTCTGATATTTTCTTCATTTATCTTCAGAACTTTTAACAAGTCATTTTTCCAAGGGGGGAATCAGTGGGGGAAAAAAAGGAGAATCAACTGTAACAAAAATTAATCAATAAAAAAAAAAAAAAAGTCATTTTTCCTATTATAAACAATCAGAGAAAAATAATATCTTGAAGTATACATTGTAGAAATATACATTGTAATGTTATAATAAATAACATTATAACAAATAGAACGTTGCTATAATAAATTTACAGCCTCAAAAAAAAATTTAAATTATAACGCTATAATATAATGGAAAAAGATAACTGAAACAATGCATCTAGTTTAAAAATTTAAATAAATGCCAGCACATAAATATTTGAATCTTGACAGATAAAAAATACTTATCCTTAAAAAAATATAAATAAACTCCTAAATTTCAAAATAACTTCATGAGAATGAGTTAAGAAAGTATGGAAGATACTCAGAGATAAATAATCATTTAAGAAAATTACTTACCACCTTATCATCTCCAGGTGCTTCTGTGTTTGATATAATTAAATTTTGCTGTGCCAAATCTTCAGGAAAACCTTTTTTTTTCCTGGCACCAACAACTCCACATACTAAAGTGAACAACACAGCTGAGTTGGAAAAAAAAAAAAAAAAGTAAATATATAAAGTTTAACATACATAGAATAAAATATCCATCTTTTGTATCTTAATTTTTAAAATTTATCTTTATTTTTGAAAATATTACAGATGTCTCCCATGGACCCCCTCACCCCATTCCCACACCCAACCCCAGGCCTTCACCACACTATTGTCTGTGTACACGGTTTATGCATATGTTCATATAAATTGTTTGGTTAATCTCTTCCTGTACCCCACTACCCCCTTCCCTGCACAGGAGGCAAATAAAGCCAAGCAAGGTGATCCTATGAATCACCTTGACCTTCTAAATGAACATACCATGATTTAGCTCAGATTTTACAATTTGGCATGACTATATGTATATTTTGATGACAGTGGTCTTTAAGAGAGAATTCTACCCATCACACTAAAGCATTTAGAATCATGAGTTAAATAGTACATTTTTAAAGTCACTGACATTTATTTTAGACAAAGACTTTAAAGAGATTTATTGATTCCCCAAAGAATGGTTTGCCTACCAGAAAGCATGAGAAAATGTTTTTCCCAGAACAGATTTATCTCCAAGTATCTTAATTAAACTTATTTTGTATTTTGTCTATTCGGAATTTTCATTCTATGTAATAACTGTGGGAGGTTGAAGTATGTGATAAATACTAATAGTAACAGCAGTTCTTTACAATGTTCTACAAGCTCTATACCACGGACTGCCAAACTACAGCTAAATCCAGCTCACCACATGTTTCTGCATGGCCTATGAGTATGCTTTTAATATTGTTAAGTGGTTTAAAACATCACAAGAATTATAGTTTATTAGACGTAAAATTTATATAAAATTCAAATGTTGGTGTCCACAAATACAGTGTATTGGAACACAGCATGCCCATTATTTAAATGTTTTCTATGGCTGCTTTCTTGCTCCAAGGGCAGATTTGATTGGTTATAACCGAGACCACATGGCCTGCAAAGTGTAAGATACATTATCTAGCCCTAGAAAAGGCGTGCCAACCCCTGCCTACTCTTGTGGCCCCTGTGACCTGTCTGCTTCCATTTCCTCACCCACTTCCCCTCACCCACTACTCTCTGGCTACAGTGGTCTCCCTGCCATTGTTGATTTCCCCTGGCATACTCTCACTGACCTTCCCCTCTGCCTGAAAGCTATTTCCCCAGGTATTCCACTGGACCGACTTCTCTTTTCCAAAAATCATCAACAACCACCTTCAGTTAGGCCTGATCTAACCATTTCCTGAAAACTGCAATCACTACCACCAATCTCTCACCCTCACCCCACATCTATTCCACCGTACTACAGATCCTAATTATTTTGCTCTATTCTTTTTCCTCCACAGCATTTAATTCATTTATTAGTTTACTATCTCAAAACAGACCGTGTGTGTGTGTGTGTGTGTGTGTGTGTGTTGTTTTTTGATGAATCTCATGCATCTAGACACAGTTTTTGGTATATCATTGGTGTTCAATATACATCTATTTTGTTGAGTTGGTAAAAATAATGTACACTTATTGGAAATATACCATGCACTGCTATAAGCTCTTCACATGCATTAATTAATCCTCAGTGCTATCCCATAAAGTAGTCTACTACAATCATCTCCCGTTACAGATGAGGAAACTGTGGCACAGTTAAGTAACTTGCCCTGGGTCACATGACTTGCAGATGACAGAGCTGGGGCACAAACCCAGATAGTCCGATTGTAGAGTCTTCTGCTTAATCACTACTCCTATCACAGAACAAAGGAACAACAGCTAATCTAAGCTGGAGGGTTGGATGGATATAAGAGAAGAGCCTGGCCGGTGTGGCTTAGTGGTTGAGTGTCAAACCATGCACCAAAGCTCGTCAGTTTGATTCCCGGTCAGTGCACTTCCCAGGTTGTGAGCCTGATCCCCAGTGGGGGGCCATGCTGAAGGTGACCAATCGATGTTTCTGTCTCTCTCTCCCTCCCTCTCCATCCCCCCCTCTAAAAATCAATCAATAAATTTAAAAAATATATTAAATAAAATAAAAAGAGAGGAAACGATATGGTGTCATAGGAAACTACACAACTGGTGACAGAAGAGGCCAATAGAATTCAAAACTGGCCAGATAACATCGAAGAAAAGATACTGCTGAACATCCATAAACCTGTGGTAAATGGTGAGAAGGCAAGAAATGAAAACAGCTTTTAGTGAACGTTCATGTAGCAGAAGTTTTAGATTGCTTTATAGCACTAAATGAGTAGTACTTTGACCAAGAAATAAAATTATACATTGACAGATTTAGCACAACCTTAGGCATTTTTGAGAGTCCTGTCCAAAAATAAAATATTTTATCTCAGAAAGGATCATGCTCCTCTCATACAAAATAATCAATCAGAACTCAGATAATAACACCAAAGAAATTTGTAAAGTGGACTCACACCTGACAGACAGTTGGACAAGATTACTATTTTTTTAACATATTTCATTGATTTTTTTTGGAGAGAGAGAAACATCAATCAGCTGTTTCCTGCACACCCCATGCCTGTGCCCTGATCAAGAATCGAACCGGGACCTCTCAGTCCATGGGACAACCCTCAATCCACTTAGCCACCCTGGCCAGGCAGGACAGGATTACTTTTTAAAGACCTTTTCCTACACTCAGATATTATATTTTAATTGTAGGTAAGCGAAAGGACTTACAACAAAGTAATGCTATTCCCAGTAGTATTGCCAGGATCGCCCACTTTCCAAGTGACACGGACACACTCCTGGAAGCCGCCAGGCACTGGCTGGGGTGCGTGCAGTCACACAGATTCACTCTCACGGTTTTCGTGGCAGATTGACCTGCTCTGTCTTTTACAGTAACCGGGATATTATATTCTTTCATTTCCGCGTTTTTCTGATAGGAAAGACGGGCAGCTGTATCTGAAATAAAAGAATTTGAAGTTAATGAAAATGCAATTCTCCCTTAGCATTTGTTTACCACACCTGTTTGTGAACAACCAGCTGCCACATTCTCTCTTCAATTGCTGGAGTTGCTTGAAAAGCAGCAAAAACAATTTAATGATAAGCTGCCTACTCTTTTCACAAAGCATTTTTGACTTTGTTGTAAAAGTAAAATGTGCCATTATAAAAATTAGGATTTCTTTCATTTTGTGTACAATGTATAACACAGGCCCCTGCGATATTTCTAAAAGTTTGTTAGGCTTTAAAAGATGTTGATGAGAATCAATTTTACAGGTTTCATGTGAGTAACCGAGTAAATCCATTCTCAGTTGTTTCGGAGCATCTAAATCATTATTTTTGATTGAATACCATTAACTTTGGAGAGGGTCCATATCTTGTTGATTTCTGAAGAAGGGTTTGCCAAGCTGAAATAAAATGGAGCGCCATGGATAGGTTCATCGGCATCAAAGGCTGAAATGTCAGTGTACCCCATCTTTGGTTTGCAGACTATTATCTGATCTTGAAGAATATGTGGTGCATTATCATTCACATCCTCGATGTTAATTGCAAGTGTTCCAGTACACGATCTACCGTCTAGGAAGAAAGGCAAAAGCTTTAGTGCAATTTGTAGAGTCTTCTAGAGTTTCTTAAAAAAAAAACAAAAAAAATCAAATAGATTATAAATATGATTGTTTGGGCTTTTTAAATAAACTCCTGGTTATTAGATAAATAAGAACATATATGGATAACTGAAACCTGCGGATTATCTAAAATGAGTACTGCTGTTGATAGTATCAGATATAATTGCCAATAAACTTTTACCTAAGTTATTACCAAACAGTGATATTAAATGTCTGAATTTTAAACCCTACTTCCTTGGGTTCCTCCTGGTGCATATGTTCATGTGCAATAATGTGACTACAGAACAATTATTCTAATCCTGGGACACACTGAAACCACCTAGGGAGAAATTTTTAAATGTATGATGTCCAGGCTCCCAAACCAGGGATTCTGATTCAGTCCATCTGAGGTAGTGTCTAGATCTTGATGTTTTTTTTAAGTGTTACAAATTATTTTAAGATAAAACCAGGGTTGAGAAGTTCTGGGTTCCTTTAAGAAAGAGAATTCAAAGAAAGAATCATTTTGCCCTAAAAGTCAGCTGAGCTATTCAAAGGCTCAATTTAAAGTGACATGAAGAGTTCTAGAAGAGTCTAGCAAGTCCACTTCATTAGCCCTAGAGGTCAGTTCCACCTTTCTCCTCTGACAGAGAGTCTATAAGCATTTAAGGTCCACCATTCTGGATCTATAAAGGTAAATAAAACCTGCCCCAGCCAGTTTGGCTCAGAGGCTAGAGCATCAGCCTGCAGACCAGAGTCCCGGGTTTGTACCTGGTGCTAAAGGCACGTGCCTCGGTTGTAGTTTGTCCCCGGCCCCAGTTGGGGTTTTGTGGGTGGCAGCCACTCGATGTGTCTTTCTCATGTCGATGTTTCTCTCTCTCTTTCTCCCTCCTGCTCTATCTGAATATAATTGCAATGTCCTCGGGTGAGGATAAAAAAAAAAAAACCTGGCTTTTCATTTCCAAGTAGTTTCACCTTGTTAGATGATTAAGAGAAGTAGGAACAGAGCCTTTAAAGGAATTTCTAAGAATTCCATGTACTTATTGCAAGAATAATTCTGCACAAGAAAAATTGCATTATTTTCCAATTCCTTTAGGAAATACCAGATTAAAACTGTTTTGTTTACCGTGATCTAATGCCAGGACTGTAACATTATACAAGTCGTTTCTGGGTGTTACGGCCTCCCTGTCCAGAATTTTGGAAGTTTGGATTGACCCCGAAATTTCATCAATGGAGATCCACCCTTTAGGATCATGCAATAATCTGTACCTGTTCATAAAAGATAAAAATAGCTTTTAATAATATAAAATGTATTAAAATAAGTTACTGTCCCAATTGTTTCAAATACATTATCAGTATGTGGTTATAGATTTCTTTGTACCTTATGCCACTGCTACTTCTAGTTTCGGGGTCATATGCCTTATAGCCATTGATCCGGGACCCCACTGCTGAATTTTCTTTAATCCGTACATATTGGGCTGCAGGGTTGCATTCAGGCCCTTCATCCTGGTCCCTCACTTGAACTGTGACCAAAGCTCTGTTCATGGTTGTCCTGAGTGCAGTGTCTCTAGTAAAAGGGGCTTCATTGCTTACTCCAATTTCCAGGACCACCTGATGGTTTTCTTCATAATTCAATGGCTTTAAAAAGAAATACATGTACTTCAGTATGAGTATAAAACACATTTGAAATTTCAAATAGCATGTGAACTTTTGTCAATATGAACAGTATTGCATGCATTCCAAGTCAATATTAACTTTTATCCTTTGCTAATAAGAGAAGTGATTATTCACTAAGCGTTTAGCCAGAGTGGTGCAAAAGTTTCAGCAGGTGGTTCATAGAGCTATGGAAAAGTAATTCTTGTCCAGCCGGTGTGGCTCAGTGGACTGAGCATCGTCCCATGGACTAAGAGGTCCCAGTTTGATCCCTCGTCAGGGCACATGCCCAGGTTGTGGGCTCGATCTCCAGTGGGGGGCGTGCAGGAGATGGCCAATCGATGTTTCTAACACTCTCTCTTTTCCTCTCTCTCTAAAAAAAATCAATAAAATCATATTTTTTTTAGAAAAGCAATTCTTTATATACTTTCATGCTTCATTCTTACTAAAAAAAAAAATTATTCTGAACCTGGAGAAATGTAAAAAAAATGACATTGGTCTAGGTCCCTGCTTTAGTGTACTAAGAGACCAGTGTACAGGTCATCTAAGAGAACAGAACTTTGTTCGACTCACTATTTACTACTGACTAAGGCCCAGATATTTTTTAGTTCTTACAAAGTTAGATGTCAACTTAAACAAAATTGAAAAGGTGCAATGATCTTATTTTCTCTCTGATAGAAAAAATGTTCTCAAGGAATATTTTAATACATGAATATCATTTCCATCAGGCTAATAACTGAGCAATCTTGTTTCAGTTTTTCCTTTCTCAGAACTCATCCAGGGTCTCAGTTCTCAGGGATCTGTTTTGTCTTTTTGCTGGTTCCTTCATCAGTTAAGCAGAACTTTTACCCATGCTGGCTACTTCTGTGGAAATTATGTTTTGACAATTTGATAATTATACTTTGGCAATGTCTGTAGTGGATCCCAAGAAACTCTGACAGTGAAAACAAAGTTGAGTAAGAGAAATATGATATGCTTAATGGTGCTGTTATTATGACCATCCCTGTTTTTCAAAGTAGAAAGCCGAGAAAAGGAGATAAACTGATTTTCCCACGGCTAAAAGATTCTCATCTGGTAGTCTGGTTTGAGTTGCTTTCCTTAATCACCACACTATAATTCCTCTGCCAATCTATGCTGCTTAACTGGTTCACTAGCCTCTTAAACTTTTTAAATCAATACTCTGATTATAACTGATTTTCAGACAGTGAATCAAGCAAAACCCATAAAACAGTATTTTACACAAAGGTGAAGCGCCTCTGTCTTTGATTCTCTTCAGGTTATCAAAGCGATCCTGGCTGACAGGCAGAGAGACAAGTACCATATGATTTCAATCATATGCGGAGTCTAAGGAACAAAATAAACTAACAAACAAAATAAAAACAGACTCACAGATACAGGGAACATAGTGACAGCTGTCAGAGGAGGGGATGGGTGGGAAGCTGGGTGAAAAAGTGAAGAGATTTAGGGAAGAAAAACTCATAGACACAGACAATAGCATGGTGGTTATCAGACGGGAAGGAGGGGCTGGGTTAATAGCATGGTGGTTATCAGACAGGAAGGAGGGGGTGGGTTAAAGAAGAATAAAGAGTGATGAAAGGAGACTTGACGTGGGGATGCTGAACACACAATACAATAGACAAATGATGCATTACAGAATTGTGCACCTGAATCCTACACAATTTTATTAACCAATGTCACCCGGATAAATTCAATAAAAAAGTAAAAACAAAAATACTGGCTGGCCCTGGCCAGTTTGGCTCAGCGGTTAAAGCGTCGGCCTGCGGTCCGGAGAGACCCGGGTTCGGTTCCCGCTAAGGGCACGTACTTCGGTTGCAGTTTGTCCCCGGCCCTGGTTGGTCGTGCGGGTGGCAGCCACTCGATGTGTCCCTTCACGTCGATGTTTCTCTCTCTCTCTCCCTTCCTCTCTCTCCCTCCCACTCTATCTGTACAAAAAATGGAAAAATATCCTCGGGTGAGGATAAAAAACAAAACAAAACAAACAAACAAAAAAAATACTGGCTGAACATGGAACAAAATAAAAAGTGATGAATACCATTTTGTTTTAAACCTTTCCCCACACCTACACAGACTGAGATAATAATATCATGAGTCCACTAAGAAGTTGAAATTTTCTGAATCTTAAAAGCCACAAAATGCATATGAAATGCATTTTGATTTGTTATGACTATCCCAGAAACTAGCGTCAAGAGGGAAAGTGAATATCTGTTTATTTGTTGCCAACGAACGCCATCTCACAAAGGACGTGTTGGTCTGATGGCTCAGACTGCCAGAGCAGCCGCTGACAGTGAGAGGGAGATGGAAATGTAGGAAACAGCTGCTGAACCAGTGGGGGTGCCGCTATTCGACCCAGAGCCACTTACTAAATTTTTTATGTGATTTTTCAGAGTTTAAACTGGGTATTATCTTAGTGGCTTAAATTCTGCAAGATTAGAAATCTGCTGAGATGAAATCAATGATAAATGAAAACACATAAATTCTCTTCCACCACTGAGTGGCTTTTTGTTTCATCAATTGAAATAAATCGTTAAAAAATAAGTTATATCTGCATTAAGAAGTTAACAACTCCCTAGAAAATGACGTGTATTGTTTGTTTTGGAACTAAGGCCCCTCTATGTGAGAATGATAACGAACAATAGCTTCCTCACTCAAGCCCATAGGTACTCCTGCTGCTGCTGCAACAGAAATAAACACTGAGATGCAAAACTTACCCAGGACTCAGCTAACAACTGTATCAACTCACGTTCTATGGTTCCAGAAAAGTTATCTTATTTTTTTTATAATGGAAGTTAACTTTTTATTTAAAATTATAATTATTTGTAGCAAGATCATGTTAATACTTTAAAAATATAATAATAATATCCTGTAGTTTATCAAATGCTTTCACTTTCATTATTATATTGAATAATTATAGGGCAGCAGAGAAAAGTATTATTTATTTTTTACTGATAATACAAAGGCTAACTTTGAATAGGTAAAGGGCACTGGGAATATTTATCCTAGAGAAGGTAAGTTTCAAATGGACATAACAGCCTTTTCAAAAGAATTATAACTCTTCTGTATAGCATTAGCAATAAATCACAGATTAAAGACATGGGATATAAGGAGAATAATTTAGGCACAGCAGAAGCAAGGTCTTCTGAGAATCAGAGCTCTCTAAATATGGAATAAGCTGACAATCGAGATATGGAGATCCTTATAATTAAGAATGTTCAAGCATAAGTTAGGTGTCTAATAAATAGCAAATATATTATAGAAGAAAGGCAGGCATTAGATGGGAACAATGGGACTAAAGAGACTATGTCCCCTTACAACTTGAAAGTATTTAGTTGATTAAACCATTAGTTTTTTACAACGTGTTAACTTGCCAAGTTGTCAAATATTCATTGTTACTGTACCTTTACAACACACAGAATGCCTTCATTAGTTTTTTTGTCTGTACTGATTTTGAAATGTCCATTTTCGTTGCCCCTTAAAATGGTAAAATTGGCTCTCCAATTGGCAGTGTTAATTAAATCTTTATCTTCTATAGGTATTCGTAAGATTTCCACATTGTATGTATTTTCCTCTACTGATGCTTCATACTGAAACAGAAAGAAGTCATTAAAAACTTACTTTATATTAAAAAAAAACTTTTACAAAGAAAATAAAACGCGTCTTCTACTCAAAAGTTCTTGTACTTTTTGCCTAGATTATTTTAAAACCATGAATCTCAACAGTATTGTATCATGAAGACATCTTTTAAATGAAAGAAGACTATCGCCCTGGCCGGTTTGGCTCAGCGGTTAGAGCGTCAGCCTGCGGTCCGGAGAGACCTGGGTTCGGTTCCCGCTAAGGGCATGTACCTTGGTTGCAGTTTGTCCCCAGCCCTGGTTGGGTCGTGTGGGTGGCAGCCACTCGATGTGTCGCTTTCACATCGATGCTTCTCTCTCTTTCTCTCCCTCTCACTCTATCTGAACAAAATATCGAAAGATGTCCTCGGGTGAGGATAAAAAAAAAAAAGAAAGAAGACTATCATTACAAATGAAGACTAATGTTACTGGCCTTTACTGTGAACAAATAAAACAGATTTGTATATCTGCTATTTAATTTATTCAAAAAATAAACATATATACTTCAAAGTATAATAAATATTTATTAATCTAGATTAAATAACAAATGACAACAGACAGAGCTAGGTTCTGGAATTACATACTTACAGCATTTTGTCTGAAAGCAGGTGCATTGTCATTTGAATCTGTTACTGTTATAAGGCAAGTTGATGTACCCACCAATCCAAAAAACTGACCATCCATGTCTTGTACTTTCATTATCAATTTGTACTTGTCTACAACCTTAAAAGAAAGCAAATATTTAATTAATTCTGTACAACTTTGGTTAGATTTATAAATGAACATTTAATTGTACACTACTATTTGTGTATATCCATGCTTTTATTTCCATATTTGCATAATCTCCAAGAATTTGTTAGATGGGAATAAAGCTCTAAAGGTAGGCAGGGGTTAAATTATAAAGAGTCATATTAAGAATTTAGACTTATACTTTAAATGGCAGATAATAAGGAGAGGTTTCCTTGAAGTCACAGGGGCAGCACAAAATAAAAGCATGTTGAGTTTCGAAAGAATATTCTTAAAGAGGATGAGCAGAATATGGAGTGAGCTGATCTGGAAGTCAAAGAAACCAGCTAAAGAGCTCCTAAAATAGTCTAACACAGGTGGTCCAAATCGGAGGCAGTAGCAATGAAGACAGAGAAGAAGGGTGACAGGGAAGTTAGGTGGGAGCCAGAATTAGAAGGGAACTTGAAAGCAGATTCTATATACAAGAGAGAAAGAAGGACTAAGATGCTCAGGTGTCTCACTTGGATAGATAGGCAGACATGGGTATCACCAACCAATACAGAAAATTCAGAAGAAGAGACAGTTCACAAGGAGGGGCAAAAACAATGAGTTTTCTTTGGCATATACTGAATTTTACATGCCTATGGGAAATCTAAGAAGAAAGGTCCAAAAGGTATATGGTCCATACTTACAGGAGAAATCATAGCCAGAGTACTGATCTGGGAATCACCAACCAGTATGTAGATAGGGGTTGAAATTATGGTAGGAATGAGATATCTAGGAGAGGTTAAAGGATGAGAAAAACTGAGGATATAAGTAACAATAGCATCTCAGCAGCTGAGGATCTAAAGAGGAAATAAGAAGACTAAGCAAAGGACACCAAAAACCAAAGATCAAAGAAGCAGGATAGCCCAGCCTGTGTGGCTCAGTGGTTGAATGTCGAGCCATGCACGTAGAGGTTACTGGTTCAAGTCCTGATGAGGGCACATGCCCAGGTTGTGGGCCCAATCCTCAGAGGGGGGCATGCAGGAGACAGCCAATCGATGTTCTCTCTCATCAATGTTTCTATCTCTCTCTCCCTCTCCCTTCCTCTCTCTCTAAAATCAATAAAGAAAAAAAAATTTGCCCTGGCCAGTTTGGCTCAGTGGTTAGAGCGTTGGCCTGCGGTCTGGAGAGACCCGGCCCTGGTTGGGTCGTGTGGGTGGCAACCACTCGATGTGTCCCTTTCACGTCGATGTTTCTCTCTCTCTCTCTCTCCCCCACCCCCCACTCTATCTGAACAAAATATCAAAAAAAAAGTCCTCGGGTGAGGATAAAAAAAATAAATTAATTTAAAAAAAGAAGAAAAAGTGTTTAAAAAAGAAGCAGGATAAAAACCGGAAATCCAAGGAACAAACACAGTTTCAGTAGTTGACAACAGACAGAGACTTAACGCAATTGGCATGTGGCGATTAGGAAATCACTGCTGGCTTCTGGGAATGGAGTTTTGCAGATGGTGTGTTGATGATGAAATGGAGTCAGTTTGTGACACAGTCACCTGTTGCCTTTCTCTTCTATCGTACTATTCTGTAGCCACTCCTCATGTTTAATTTTTCCTCTTTTCCTATTTCCCTCAATCTCACCGCGGGCTTCATTTGACTCATCTCCTTTCCACACTGGAAATGGACATCGCACCCCAAAATGCTCTACCTAGAGGCTCTAGGGTTCTGATAGCCTGTTTTTTTCTTCCTTTAAATGCACTTTCTTTATCTTTCTTGTACATTTCATTACTTCCTGTGTTATTCCCCACAAAATCCTGTTAGATATTTTTTCATAAATCAAGCAGACCTGGGTTTAATCCCTCCAAAACCGGTATTTTATAAGCTATGTATCCTTACATTATCTTTTTTAAGTCTCATTTTTCAACTGTAAAAAATGAGAAAAAATTCCTTGTTTTCACTTGATTACCACATCATCTCTACATGTTATACAGATACTAAAACATATTCATATTGTCCCCTTCAACCTTTCCCATCTATTATTATCATTATGTGCTTTATCACATAAAATGTCCTGCCTGCACAAATGCATAAAAAGAAAACACAAAATTAATAAAACATCTGTACTACATTTGATTTCTTTTTATAAGTTCTCACCAACCCTCCCTTTTTCTTTGGCATCAAATTCTATTGATGTCTTCTTTTTAATATCTCTCCCAGTCACATTGGTCCTTATATTTATGTTGTTCCAGTTATAGTAGGAAGCATTTAAGTGTTCTAATAAAGCCATTTTTACATATGAAATTGATGAATCTGTCTCAGTCAACATATATGACTCAGAGTTAAATACAGACTAACAAAATCAAATCAATCTTTCTGACTATCACATTTCTTCTTATAAATTAAACATAACACCTGTCTAGTCAAATAAGAAAATTATAAAACCAAATAAAATTATGCATAAAGAATTTGAATACAAAGTCCTATACATATGAAAATATGTTATTACTATCATCCAAATAGTGTTACAGATTTTTAATAATTCGTAAACCTTACCTCAATTAATCCTTTACACATAAAAAGCACATTATCTGTAATAACTAAATAGGGATCAGGGTATGATCTATACTAATGAAAGAAACAAAACAAACTGTCCTTTATGAAAACTGACTCCTTCACTGAGCTAGAACCAACTAGACACACACGAGAAAAAAATAATATCTAATAATAATAATTTTCATAAGAAATATCTTTTGTTCCCACACCTTCTAGATACCAATTGATCTGCATTTCTATTCCTTATGACTTCTCTTGCATAAAGAAATAAATGTGCCCTGGCCAATTTAGCTCAGCAGTAGAGCATCGGCCCGCAGACCAAGGAGTCATGGGTTCGATTCCGGTCAATGGCACGTACCTCGGTTGTGGTTCGTCCCCGGCCCTGGTCGGGGTCGTGCGGGAGGCAACCAGTCGATGTGTCTCTCTCACATCGATGTTTCTCTCTCTCGCCCTCCCACTCTCTCTGAAGATAAAATAGAAAAATACCCTCAGGTGAGGATTTTAAAAAAAGAAATAAAATATAAAAAAACAGGTAACATGGCCAGGAATTCTTATGATCTTATACTTTAATACAATAAGATTAGAACTCAAACTAAAGAAGAGCAAAGTGCAATAAGTGGGGAAGAAGAGGGGGCTCCACCCCCAGGAGAAAGGCATTCTACAGAGTGTGGAAGCTACCTCTCTGTCCAAATATTGAGAGACAATGGTGATGGCGCCCGTGACGGGATGCACGGAAAAGAGCCCAGGTGACTGTGGAATCTGCTGCAGAATGCTGTACTTCAGGCGTGTGTGCATAGTGTCTGGTTCGTCTCTGTCCGTGGCACAAACCTCTCCCACTTTAGTACCTACATGGTATTAGAAAAGAACGTGTAATTTCCAATATTGATACATATTCTTAGAAGTATCTACACTTTTCAAATTTTAACAGTGATGGTGGAAACCTAATTCAAAATGTATTTCTTACCAGAGGGATTCCATCTTTAGATAATACTGATGAAGATAACTTCAGATTTATCATATAAAACACCTTGAGCCCTGGCCAGTTTGGCTCAGCGGCTGAGCATCGGCCTGCGGACCAGAGAGTCCCAGGTTCGGTTCCCACTAGGTGCACGTACCACAAAAACAACAACAACAACAACAACAACAAAAAAAAAAAACGAAAAAAAAGCACCTTGATGCTGAGAATCAAGGCAACTTTTACTTTGCTCACAGTTCACACCAGGTTCGGTTCCCGCTAGGGGCACACACCACAAAAAAACACAAACAAAAAAAAACACCTTGATGCTGAGAATCAAGGCAACTTTTACTTTGCTCACAGTTCACAACATCTGATAATATATTACTAAAACTTATATAAAAGGCACTCCAAAATATTTTCAACACTTATTCTCACATATTGCAATAACAAACCTAGTTGGAGAGATAAACCATGGCTCCTGAGTAACTCAGATTTTTAAAATTTAAACTTTTGATTAATAATTACATCCAGAGTGATTTGGGATAGATGGCCAAGGTGACCTTTCACAACCCAGTCTCCTTTCTAAGATGTTTTTTTGTTTTTTGGTGACTTGCCTCATTCTTTTCCACCAGTTTAGTATCCACACACCACTGACCTCAGTCTCACTTAATCCTCAAGAAGGGATTTCATTAAATTTACCATTCGGAGAGAATTTGCCATCTGTATGGAATATAAAAATACTGTCCTGGTAAAGGATCTCAGGTATCAAAGAATACACACAGGTGGTGTATTCATAGTGTCAGGAGAGTGTTCCAATGCAACGCAAATAGAATGCACAGATCCACTTTGCATATTGCACTGTATGTGAGGTCAATCTGACAAACAACACATAGACACAACCACACACACATTAAAATAACTTTATTGAAATATTGTGTTTCAATGAAATAAAAGCAGGGTAAAACTTTTAACCCAAGGATATATTAGTTTTAAATAATTTTGTTACTAGCCCTTGCCGGTTTGGCTCAGCGGTCAGAGCATCAACCCATGGACCAATGAGTTGAGGGTTTGATTCTGGTCAAGAGCATGTACCTCAGTTGCAGTTCATCCCCAGCCCTGGTCAGGTCATGCTGGAGGCAACCAGTCGATGTGTCTATCTCACATCAATGTTTCTCTCTCTTTTATGTTTCTCCCTCCCACGCTATCTGAAGATAAATGGAAAAATATCCTCAGATGAGGATTAAAAAATAAATAAATAATTTTGTTACTATAAAAGATCCTTAAAGTTTATACATATATGCACATGTGTGTATATATGTGTAAATAAGTATACATATATAGTATATTTCTATATTTATACATATATTTATATTTTATATATTTATATATGCATTATATATAGTAGAGAAGGTCTAATTAATTGCATACTCATGACAAGATTTCTGCCATAAATCAATATGAAGACATGAAGTAATCATCTTTTTGCCGTAAGAAAATAAATGCTATCTATGTTTTTATGGAAAAAAGTTTATGATCTTTGTAAGACATAACATTTTCTTCCTGCAATTTGACTTATAGTTAGAAAGACAAACACTATTTTAATTCTCTAAATAGAGAACTGCTTTACTTATCACACAAAATCTTCCTAAAAATCTTGAAAATTCCTTTCCATAGGTGTTATGCTTCAATACTAATTGAGAACTCTTTATCTAAGCCACCTGTGTGTGACTTAAGGCAAACTCAAGAGCACCTGTTAGTTCAGAGTATCAGAGTCTTAAATGATCTGAACCTACTGGTGTGAGATGCTTAAAATACTCTGGGCTAATATGGGCATCAAAGTGTTTGTCCTTGATTCTTCTGTTACTACTGATGAGAACAAAATCCTCACGAAAGAGTTTGAAACCAATCATCTATCTCTCTTTGAAAAATAATGTTTCAGAGTCATAGACTTGTGAAGCTAAAAACATTACAGGTCATCTCATGTAATTAACTTATTTTACAGGTCAGAGAACTCAAGAGACTTCCATGAGTTCCCACAGTGAGTTAATAATAGACCCTGAATCAAAACCTGGGTTTCCTAACCTCCAAATCAATGATTTTTATTTTTGTAATTGTACATTGTGAGTAATAAAGAGGCGGACATCTATGACATCAAATTATCAAAGTAAAATATATGAGGGAATAGCAAGTGTAATGATGCAGTGAAGATCTAAGTAACTAGCAAAAACCTTAATAGGCAAGTTAGCAAAGTCATCCTTTGTGACTGAGTCAACTTTCTTTCAACTTTATTGTAAGTGGCTATTCTCCATATTGCAAGTCTCAGAAGACATCATGAATGCCACATTAAAAAGCCAACTAGCGCCTGGCTGGTGTGGCTCAGTGGTTGAGCGTCGACCCATACACCAAGAGGTTACCAGTTCTATTCCCAGTAAGAGCACGTGCCCAGATTGTGGGCCCAATCACCAGTGGGGCACATGCAGGAGACAGCCAATCAATGTTCACTCATCGATGTTTCTCTCTCTCTCTCTCTCTCTCCCTTTCTTTCTCTTGAAAATCAATAAAGAAAAATTATTGAAAAAAAAAACAACTAGCCCTGACCAGATTGCTCAGTTGATTGGAGCACTGTCCCATGGTTGGATTCCCAGTTGTAGGTTCAACCCCAGGTTGCCCCATGGAGGCACCTGATCAATGTTTTTCTCTCACATCAATGATTCACTTTCTCTCTCTCTCTCTCTCTCTCTCTCTCTCTCTCTCTCTTTATCTCTCTCTCTCTGCTTCCTCTCTCTCTAGGGTCGATAAACATATCCTCGGGTGAGGATTAAAAGAATAATAATAAAAATAAAAATAAACAAAAAAGCGAACTAATCTGAAACACTGGTTTTCCACATGTGAGAAGAAGTGTTTAGATTGGAGAACATGCAATATAAGTTTCTCTAAAGTTATTTCAGTATTCATTCTACAGTGGAAGTAGTAAGGTAGTAGTTGTAAGAGAAGAAATAATAAAAATAGAACTTTTTTAAAAAATTGTATCATCAGTAGATATTATTCAACATCTCCGTAAATAAAATCTAATAAAAATATCTATACTGATTTTAGTTTTAATGTACATTCCACCCTGCATGTCCTAAGCTTGGAGGTAAGAATATTGATAAACCCACATAATGATAAGATGAAATAAAGTATATAAACCAAATATGGTACAAAGCTTGAATTATTGTCATCTGCCCTTATAAGTAATTGGTATCATATTGACAACACCAAAAAAATCCCATAACATCCCCTACATTATACATTGTTTGTATTTGATGGGATTAAATATATTCTGTAAATAGATACTGGTCAAATATCACATCTGAATCATTGGCCTTGAATATAAAAAACTCAGTATCTCAAAAAATGTACACAAACATATTTAACAGGATACATTTCACTCTTAAAAGTTGTCTTACCACCAACTCTGAAGGGAAAAGGCCATTCTAAGTCTGATATAGATAGATTTAACTAAATGAAAGACCCAAACTACTCTACTGCAAAAAGGAGATTTAATAAAACTGAAAAGCAGCAACAGACTGAGAAAATATTTAACTATATTAATATCCTTAATATGTAAGAACACTTTTAATTATATTAAAAATAAGAAACAGACATACACCAGGGGGAGAGGTGGGGAATGGGCAAAGGAAATGAACGTACATTTCATAAAAGAAAAATGCAAATAGCTAAAGAAGACATGCACAAAAAAGTTTTTTAAAAAAATTGTGTCTTACCAAGTTTACTACTTTCTGGAACCTCAAAATTATAAATTTTTTCTGTGAAAATAGGGTGGTTGTCATTTTCATCCTCCACTCTGATGGGCAGTGGAAGAGGTAAGTCTGCTGAATAACCATCTGCAGTTGACGCATAGGCAATCAACTAAAAAACAGGAAAAAGCAAGTTCACTAGTCCATTGACATAAGATTATAGCAAGAGAGAATGCTATGCTTTACCTACTACCTTCCTTACAAATTTTTCAGTAATAAACCACTTAATTTTTATTTCGTGCTTTTTAAATCATCAAAATATCAAATGGAGAAACACTTTAAGTACAGTCAAGAGCATCCAGTATTTGTTAGAAATGTCTATATCTCAAATAAAGTTTCAGAGTACAGTGAAGTCATGGGCAGCTCTGTAAATTAAATGAGAAATTAAATGTGAATATAGAGACTCGGATTATAGCCGTTATTCACTCTATAATCAGAAAGTTGTGCTGGGGAAGACAATGAAACTCACTGCAATGGAAAGTAGGAAAAATCCCTACCATATCATCTAAGTAAAGCAGTGATTTCCAATCTTGAAACTCCAAAGCACTTTTACTGTTTTACCTTACATAGCACTTATTTTTAGAGTATTTCTAACAAAATCCAGTTACCAATTTCTGTGTTGCTAAGTAATTAAAGGCACTGTAATGTCAGGTAGAATGCATTTCTATTCAGCATGTGATTGCAACACTGAGTTGATAATTTTCTAACCGAAAGCTAAGAAATGTCATGTGATGGACATAAGTCACAGTTGTTTACCCAGATCTCTTCCTTCTTTTAGAAAGAGAATCCCTTTTTCCTATGGGGAATCCCTGTACTACCACCACAGAGATGACCACATGACCCCCACAGCATTTATCATATTACATTTAAAATTGGCTGAACTATTCCATGGACTGTAAGCTCATCCATATCAGAATGCTGGCTTATTAACCTTTGTTTTGGCTTAGTCTCCCACTTTTGCTTCCTTATCTAGCTCTCAACCATGATCAGTGATCATACAAGTGGAAGGAAGACAAAAGAAGTAGTTAGAATAGATGAGGGAAGACTGTGGTCATGTACTGGAGACAGGAAATTATCTGTAAATAGATACCATGAACATAGAGAGCAAGAGTATCTCATAAGCAAAAACAACTTCTAGAAACTTTCTGGAATTTACATTCAAATACCATTAAAGTTCTTTGCTTCATTTCAGGCAACAACAGAAGTTGACATGAAAAGCAGAAAGTATTCCAAAATATTGCATAGTCTATTTCATTTAATATTAAGATAGCCTCTGAGAAGAGACTGCAAGAAGACAGGAAAGAGTAGATGGAGTATCAGAAGAAACATAGTTGAATCATTTGAAGTCATGTATTTCAATAAAACTCCTACATCAAAAACATCATATTCTTCACGATCCACTGGCCGAGTACAGTACAGATTTCCAGTGTCTTTTTCTATGTAAAACAAATTTAAAGGTTCTTGGTCAACTCCACGTCCACTTATTGAATAATAGACGGTATAGTTCTGTGCTGCATCAGATTGAACCTGAAAAGAAAAATATATATGTAAAAAACTTAAAATTAAATTCTGTTAAAATGCTAGTTCTTTAAAAATGCAGCTTGTGTGTTTATATTTTTATTTTAAAGAGATGACTTTAATAAAATAATGTGTGTCGCTTTATCAACACACAAAGCAGTAATAAACATTTGGCAAAAGATTTTTAAAAACTGCTCATATTTAATGAAAACAATGTCCAACATAAACAGCAACCAAAGAGAATTTAATTACAAACAATAGGCATAATTTTATATTTAGTGATTTGGCAAAGATAGCAAAGAACAGTAATATCCATTGTTAGCAAGAGTGAGGTGAACAGAGACACTCATCTATGGTGAAGGGAATGCCACTCCTTAGGAGGGAAACGGACGAAAACTAAAAAAAATGAGCTATGTGAACAAACAGGAAAGACTCTTCTTGGAAACAGGTTGTGCCTGGAGTGTTCAAGGAACAGCAAATAGGCTGTGGGGTTGAGAGCTGGGGAAAGGAGCAGAAGATGGAAAGGAATGCAGTAATAGGGGCCACACTGGGTAAGCGATTCCAAGAATGTTGCCTTTTCCTCGGAGTCAGATGAAGAGACAGTATTATCTGATTTATATTCTAAATGATAATACTTGGTGCTTTCGTTAAAACTACACTTGGATGGATGCGTAAGGGAAGAAACAGGAAGACCGTTTAAAAAGTTAGTGCAATAATTCAGGGGAGAGTGGTAAGTTTATTAGGCTAGCACAGTAGTGCAGGGGTGGTGACAAGTGGTTACATTCTAGATATAATCTGAAGATACTGCCAACAGGATATGACCATGGGTTGGATGTGTGGTGAGAAGACGGAAGTTGAGGATGACACTATCTCAGAGGATGGTAGTATCCCTTTAATGTCTACTCAGTAGATGAGTGGGTAAAAAAAGCTGTGGTTGGCCTGGCCAGTGCGGCTCAGTTGGTTGGAGCATTGTCCTATGCACCAAAAGGTGGCAGGTTTGATTCCTGGTCAGGGCACATACCCAGGTTGCAGATTTGATCCCTGGTCACAGCACATATGGGAGGGAGGCAATCAATTGAGGTTTTTCTCTCTCATCGATGTTTCTCTCATTCCCTCTCTCTCCCTTCCTCTCTTTAAAATCAATTAATTAAAAAATTGAAAAAAAAAAAGTTTTTAAAGCTGTGGTACATTTATTTACACAATAGAATACTATTCAACCATAAGAAAAGAAGGAAATATTACCTTCTGCAATGGCATGGATGGACCTGGAGATTATTATGCTAAGTGAAATAAGCCAGTCAGAAAAAGAGAAGTACCATATGATTTCACTTATATGTGGAATCTAATGAACAAAAAAGCTAGCAAACAAAATAGAAGCAGACTTATAGATACAGAGAACAGACTGACAGCTGCCAAAGAGGAGGGAGTATGGAGGGCTGGTTGAAAAAGGTGAAGGGATTAAGCAAAAAAATGAACCATCATAGACACAGACAACAGTATGGGATCACCAGGGGGTGTGGGGAGGTAGAAGAGGGTAAAGGGGGTTAAATGGTAAGGAAAAGAGACTTGACTTTGGATGGTGAGTGCACAGTACAATATACAGATGATGTGTTATAGACCTGTACACTTAAAACCTATATAAATTTATTAACCAATGTCACCCCAATAGATTCAATAAATTTTAAAAAATGGAACACAATGAAATATACAGATGATGTATCATGCAATTGTACATTTGAAACCTATAGAATTTTATTAAACAATGTCACCCCAATAAATTTAATTAAAAAATAATATTCTTGCCCTGGCCGATTTGGCTTAGCAATTAAGAGTGTTGGCCCAAGGACCGGGGAGTCACAGGTTCGGTTCCGGTCAAGGGCACGTATCTCGGTTGCAGTTTGTCCTGGGCCCTGGTCGGGGTCATGCGGGAAGCAACCAATCAATGTGTATCTCTCACATCGATGTTTCTCTCTCTCTCTCTCTCTTCCTCCCTCCCCCCACCCCCACTCTATCTGAAGATGAATGGAAAAACATCCTTGAGGGGGTAAGGATTTAAAAAAAAATTTTCTCAAAAAAAATCTTTGTTAATATTAGAATTTGTGGTCGAACACAAAATTGCCCTCAAGAAAGACATTTCTCCGTCTCCGTTGTAACTGAGTATGGCCACATGAAAGGTCAGGTCACTGGAATGTGAACAATCATAGTATGTGCAAGCTCCAGACTGTGCTCTAGAAGGTGGAATAATCGTTCTTGCATTTGGACACAGCAATGAGCCATCTTGAACCTGCAAGGAAGGCCAAGCTAAAAAATAAAGAAGACTGGGTCCTTAGGGTTTTCTCAAATTAGACTCTCTTTACCAGATCACATATTTACATGAGGGAAACAAATCTCTGTCATGCTTAACCCATTATAATTTGAGATCTTAGGAAAATGCATGTATAGCAGTATCTTATAATAATATAGGAATTAAGTGTTTAACTGAAAACAATAGATGGATATGTTAACTTGGGGCTCAATATATATTTTGCTCCTTTACTATGTTTTCTCACAGTGTAGTTGCTAGAAAGATCGAACCAAAAACTTTCCACTTTCCAGAGTCTCTTGAAACTAGAGTTCTGGATTTAAATACGAACAACCAGGTGTGCTTGCAAGAGATCTGGAAGCCATAAGGGAGGTAGATGCCTCATTTGTGCTGTTTTTTTCTGGCATCATAGTTTATATGCTTCTCTTCTCTTTTATTTTCTTTCTTTTTCCCACGGCTGCAGAAGTTCCAGTAGTTTTTGTGGATATTGCGACAGGTAGGGATTAAACGTTTTCCTGACTGCAGTGGTTAAGATGTTGTTCTAGAGCTTCTTGACCATGGCAGTGGCATTTTGGTTCTAGAATTTGTGACTTCCCCATCAAGGAGAAAGCAGCATGTCCCTTGGTGATGGATCCTGTGGTGTAGCTTGAGGTTCATTCTTGAGGATTCAGCCTAAAATGTGTTTCTTTAGTCTTTCCAGCAATTCTGTAAACTGTTTATGCACTGTAGTAAATCCCAATCTGTTCATTTTAAAGAGACATATGCTCTCTACAACTAAAACCTTACCCAACAGACTCCAATGCTCCAACAACTGAAAGAATGGAACTGCTATTAACTGAGATGTGAAAATGTTTTTAAGAGAAAATCCAAACATTTTACTTGCATATGTTAAGTTTGAAATGTCTATTAGACTTCCACGTGGAAATATCAATTAGGCAGTTTGGGCTTGTCATACGAAGTCTTAAGTCTCCAATGTATTAGACAGTACTTCAAGCTAGGAGATTGGATGAGATCACCAAGAGAATGGGAATAAATAAACAGGAGACAAGGTTCAGGGACTGAGCCCAGGAACTCTCCAAAGTTTAGAGACTGGGCTGGTAGGGGGTGGGGTGAGTGGGAAGGAGAGCATGAAGTACAACAGACTACGTGGAAAGCTAGGTGAACGGTGTCCTAGAAGCCAACTGAAGAAAATATTTTCAAGAGGAGACAGAGGTCCTGTGTCAAATGTACATATATTTGTCAAAGAAATCAGGACTGAGAATCGGTGACTGGTGTAGCAATGCAAAGGCTAAAATGAACTATGATCAGTATAACTTGAGTAATCAGAAATCATTAACTATGCCTCATCAGTGCTTCAAGTAAAATAATCAAAAGTAAGAAACAAGGGTCTAGCACTGGGTACAATAAAAAATAAGTGTGAGAGACCCTGGAAAGATACATTAAAATGTAAACAAATAGCATATAGGTCACACATTGGTACAAAAAAAAAAAAAAAACATCAACCATGCCCAGCTGGTGTGGCTCAGTGGTTGAGTGTCGACCCATGCAGCAAGAGTTCGCCAGTTCGATTCCTACTTAGAGAAGTGTCTTTCACAGGATACAACAGGTGTTCAATAACGAACTGCTCGGTGAATGAATAAACTAATAAAGATTATGTAATGGCTACAGAGTCTTTCCCATGCTATTATTAGTCTTTTAGTGATTTTCTCATTTTACTCGCTTTTATTATACTTAATGGCTTTATGAATATCTTCAATCAAATGTTTTTTAAATGTTTAAATAGTTATTGCATTTGAATAAAACAGACTTTTGGAATTAAAATACTCCCAATCAGAAGGAATGCAAAACCTACTTGTTGAAGAAACAACGGAAAAGGGCCCAGGGAATTCTCCTGCATTGAACAGGGAATAGGCGCCCATCTCCTCTTGGCACGCCTGAGAACAGTTTCCTTAGTGTGTCTTTTCCTCAGTACCTGAATTTAGAGAAAGAAAATTAAATAAACAAAGGCACCACAACCTATTTTGTTGTAAGACAACAGACAGCCCATAAACCTAACGCCTCCCTGGAGGTTCAGTCTCAAGAAATTCCATGCAGAAGCTAACGCGAGAGAATAAGGTCTTTTTCATTAGATGAGTAAGAATTTCTCTGGTTTATAAAGGTTTCATTAACCAGAGAATTTCCTTTTGCATTCCTTTCTAACACTGACTGTACACTCTCAGGTTAGGAAACTCATCACTGTACTTTTAGTTCTTCTTGTTCTGTCCGAGAGACAAAGAACACATCCTCTTTGGAACAATCTATAAATAGCAGTTACCTGTTCTTTCTGATAAAACCTCATACTCGCAGGCAAACCAGAGCAAGAAAATGCACGTTCTTCCTTGCCTTACCACTCTCTTTGCACTGTTCAATATGGCAGCACTGGCCATATGTGACCATTTAAGTTTAAATTAATTAGAATGAAGTGAAATATAAAATTCCATCCTTCAGTTACATGCCAACTGCTCAGTAGCTATTAATATTGGGCTGCCATATGAGAGAGTGAAGATTTTCAAGCATTTCCATCATCGCAAAAAGTTCTTTTGGACTTCAGAGTGATTTTCACCTTCATTCATGGTACAGCAGAGGAGACATTTTATTTCCTGAGAATTGATTAATAAATTTTGTGAAACATTTATTGAAGTGGTGACCAGTTATTTAAATTAACTTTCTCATCAATACACTTGCCACCTATTAGTCATAATCCAGTCTCAACCTTTCGCCACTTCTGTGACTACCTTCGTAAGGCATTCATTCCTCGGACTGTGGAATCTAGAGCCGCAGTAAATAACCCCCTGAGTGATGGTCAATGCCATGCATACTCTTATTTCCACTTACACACCCTCCAGGAATTCCACCCTATTTTAACATCAGAACCACTGTGGGTACTTGGAGTCAACCTCACATTCACCGAGAACCACTGCTCTTAACATTAATTTGACAAACACCTATTTATTGACTATGAATGGGTCAGGTATTACTGAGGCTATACACAAAAAGGAGGTCACTTCATGCCCTCAACGACAGATAAATTGTTTGCACTAATAAGAAAATTCTGAATGTTGTAATAGAGGGGTAACCAAACTACCACTTGCTCACAAAAGCAATTACTTCAGCTTTAGCGTAGAAAAAAACCTTCACAGTGTCATTTAGACTCAACAAAGCAAAATTCCAGTTTTAGCCAGCACTAAGAAAGAGAGGGTGGCGGAGGAGAAAGGGAAAGTAAATACAAGGTAAGAAAAAAAAAAAAAAAGAGCAAAGCAGAGGGAAAAATCCTATTTATCCTTTGGAACTCTTTGCAGTTATTTACAAAAATATTTAAATGAAAAGAAAAGCATGCCTGAAAATATCAGTGTACTGTCAATACCTTTTTCTGATGTTCCAGGAGCACAGTGATCCCCTTCCGGGTCTGTTTCTTCGTGTCAGAAAGCCATACGGTGAATGATCTTTTCTCATCAGATAACACAACAGCCCCAGCTGTGTATACCGACCCGTCACCCAGAACTCTGAAATCAGGGTCACTGGACTGGATGAGGTCTGCAGACCGGAGGCACTGTTCCAAATTAACTACAAGTAAAAATTTCCATGATGTAAAGTAGAAACACATGCAAAAAAGAAAAAAAAAAAAAAAAAAGTGTTAAAATAATTGATAAAATCATCTTAAAAATCATGAAGCAAAATGAAATAAACCAACCACTTTGCATTTACCAAATATCTTAACCAGTCTCTTTCATGTACTTTTTTAAAGGATAATTTTCTTTCAGTTTAAAAAAAAAAATTCTTGATTGGTCCTGGCCAGTTTGGTTCAGCAATTAGAACACTGGCCTGCAGACTAAAGAGTCTCAGGTTCAATTCCAGCCAAGAGCATGTACCTCGATGTGGTTCTGTCCCAGCCCTGGTCAGGGTCATGCGGGAGGCAACCAATCCACGTGTCTGTCTCGTGTAAATGTTTCTCTCTCTCTCTTTCCCCCTCCCACTCTATCTGAAGATAAATGGAAAAACATCCTCGAGTGAGGATTTAAAAAAAATTCTTGATTGTGTATATGTTGCTTTAAAACTTCGTATGGCCCTGGCCAGTTTGGCTCAGTGATTAGAGCGTCGGCCTGCGGTCCAGAGAGACCTGGGTTCGGTTTCTGCTCAGGGCAGGTTTGTGGTTTGTCCCCGGCCCTGGTTGGTCCTGTGGGTGGCAGCCACTCCATGTGTCCCTTTCATGCAGATGTTTCTCTCTCTCTCTCTCCCTCCCACTCTATCTGAACAAAAAATGGAAAAATATCCTCAGGTAAGGATAAAAAAACAAAACACTTCATATGCTCCTAAAAGGCTTATGAAAATGATCTTCTTATAAAAGAGGTGTGTTAAATCACAACAAAGCTGAGCTACACACTCTCACATACACCTGAATAAACAAACAAAGTTTCCTTGACTATGAGTCTTTTAAGATACTGTCTTCAGCCTAAACAGAGATGCAGTGTATGAATTAGGAAAACAGTCAAGCAAGACCAATTCATCTTTAAATTCTTCCCTCTGGCACTTTTCTGATACACTCTCCCCCAATTGCCCCACCCCACCCCCCCCCTACAGCTCAGTTCTTTTCTGTATACATAGTTTTTTAAAACTCCCCACCAAAAGTTCACATGGGATTATCTCTCCCTGAGAATTTTGTAATCCTCACCCCAGGATATTTTTGTATTTATCTTCAGACAGAGTGGGAGGGAAGGAGAGAGAGAGGCATAACAACTGGCTGCCTCCCGCATGACCCCGACCAGGGCCGGGGACAAATCGCAACCGAGGTACATGCCCTTAGCCAGAATCAAACCTGAGACTCATTGGTCCATAGGCCCACGCTCTAACCGCTGAGCCAAACCAGGCAGGGCAAGAATTTTACCCTTTAATAAAAGGCAAGCAAATATAAGTATCAATTTAAGTGTTTTGATACTTATATCAGAATATCAACTCCATCCCATTCTTTAACTGCCTGCCTTAACAGAAACCAAACTAATAAATTCTCACTTAAGTAATTACCTCTCAATGAGTTCATGTCACCCGTGCAGTTTCTCCTCTAATCCTAATTAGGTGGAAACACTTCGTCAAAGAGTGAACATCTTGAACATCTTTAGGAGTGGTGACCTATTTCTCTCATCTTCACATTTTTAGCAGAATGATAACCTCTGGTCTATTTCCCTAGAGAAACACCCCTGACTTGTCTTTCCTTTCTTCCCATAGGAATAAAAGTGACATTTGTTTAAGATTAAATGAGGCACTATAACCAGAAATGGTACCTTTTGCTGAAAAACTATTTAGTATCTCTGGGTCAAGCTGGCTGTCTCTCTCTCTCTCTCTCATAAGGCTTTCTCTTCAATATTCCTTGTGATACAGGGAAAGTCGGCCTAGGCATAACTGCCCTGGTGTTGGGAAAGTTTGAGGCTCCCTAACTTCTCAGTGGACAAATGGCTAAGTTCTGTTTTGAATGGAGTGATTCACCTTGTTATGTTTCTCAGTGCAGCCGTAGCACTGATAAACACCTGCTCTGATTCTCTCAGCTCTTTATCTATAGTTTTCTAGTGCTACAATCAATCCTACAGTGACAAAGGGCTATATTCTACAAGTAATTCTTGATGTAATTTTTAAACCCTCTAAACTTGAATGACTACAAAAATAGGGCTTACAACATTAGCACTAAAGTCAACCACAGAATTCAATGGAGTTATGAAGAATGGAAACATATACTTAAATTATCTTGAATTGTATCTAATTACAAATATTCAGGCTAATTCCAAAATGCAAAGATTGGATAACCTGTTCTTTCCAGTGTAGGTAAACTAAATTTTTGTTTTAATAACACTGTTTTGAAATTCCTCACCTCTGCCGACCATTTTGTCTGTCTCTAGTTCAGAAGGTACATTAAAGATCACTTTTTTGCAGGCTTCACAAGCAAAACTGAAGACCTAGAATTTTAAATAAAAAAAAAAGGTCATATGAATACTGTACAGAATAAAGAACAAAGTTTTAGTTACGCAAGATAAATTAGTTCTAGAGATTTATACAGCATAGTGCTCATAGTTATACTTAAAGTTAAAATAATAATAAATACTGAGGACGGGAGGAAACTTGTAGAGGTAATGGCACAAACCATGGTGGTGACTTCACAAGAGATATAGTTATCTCCAAACTCATCGAGATGCACCATTAAGTATGTACAGCTTTGTGTATGCAAATTTTACCTCAATAACGTATTTCTTTTTAAACAGAATAAAGAGCAACACTACATGATCATTTCAACAGATGCAAACCAAGCAACTGACAAAATCCAACACCGATTTATGATTAAAAACCCTCAACAAACTAGGAATAAAAGGGAACTCGGTCAACATGAGCAAGGGCATCTATGAAAAACTTTCAGCTAACAGCACACTTAATAGTGGACTGTTTCCCTCTGACAGGAGGAACAAGACTATGATGTCTGCTCTCACCACTTCCACTCATTGTATGAAGCTCTTCTGGCTGGGAGATTACAGAAAAAATAGAATCAAAGGCATCTAGAGAAGTAAAATTGTCCCTATGTGTAGATGATATGACCTTGTACATAGGAAATCCTAAGAAATCCACCAAAAAATAAAATAAAAAATAAAAAATGAGTTCAGAAAGTTTGCAGAATGTAAGATCAAAATACAAAAGTCAATTGCATCCCTATACACTAGCAATAAAAATATCTGAAAACACAAGCAAACAATGCCATTCGAAATAGATATGTCATCTTCATATATCAGAAAACACAGTCCCAAAATACATCTATAGTCAATGCAATCTCCATTAAAATCCTAAATAGATTTTTTACAGCAATGGAGCATTAATCCTTGTGAATATACAAGGGATCCAAATACCAAAATAAATTTGAAAAAGAAGAACCAACTTGGAGAATTTATACTTTCCCATTTCAAAACTTACTGCAAAGCTACAACAACCAAAAAGGAGTAAGGTTCAGGCTAACAAACCTCAGAAGAAGGGTGCGGGGGGAGGGATGAGATAAATCAAAGAACATTTATATGCATGTATGAGTAACCAATGGACATAGACAACAATTGGGGGGGGTGATCGGGAGGAGGGTGTCGGGGACAGGGGGAGAAACATCTGTAACAAAAATAGATTAATAAAAATTAAAAAAAAAAACACCCTCAAAACAAAGGTCCCAGCATGCACTCTCTCTCTCTCCAGCTTTAATAAATATCCCCTAAAATTAAAAAAAAAAAAAAAAAAGCTATAACAACCAAGACAGAGTGGTACTAGTATAAGGAAATTAAACATAGAAGGACAGGAACACTGCAACTTCTGGTTAGATGAATTTTGACAACAGCCTTGAGAAAGTCCAAAAAGTCCAAAGGACTTTCTCACTGCCATTTTGCAGAAGTGGATTTGGAAAGAATCATTTTTATTTCAATGACAATATATCCTTTTTTGTTTTAAATAGCTGGAACTTTCATGTTTAATTATGTAGCAACTTTAAAACAGTGTGGCAGTTTCTTAAAAAAATAAATAAACATAAACAACATATGACCCAGAAATTTGAGACCTACCCAAGAGAAATGAAAACCTACATCCATAGAAAAACTGTGCCTGAATATTTATAGCAGCATTTTTTACAATAGACAAAAAGTGGAAGCGACTCACATGTCCATTAACTGATGAACAGGTCAACAAAATGTGATATATCCATAAAGTGGAGCATTATTCTGCTATAAAAATACCTGCTACAACATGGATAAACCTAAAAAACATTATGCTCAGAGAAAGAAACTAGTTACAAAGTAATGCATGTCGTATAATTTTACTTATATATAATGTCCAAAAAAAGGAAAATATATAAAAAAAGAGTAGATTAGTTGGCTAGGGCTGGGGGTAGGAACAGGGAATGGCTGTAAATCAGTATGAAGTTTCTTTTCAAGGTGATAGAAATGTTTTAAAAATAGTTCTTGGTGGTGATTGTACATTCTGTAAATTTGCTAAAACTTATTGAATTATATACTTAACATGGGTGAATTTTATGGGATATAAATTATACCTTAATAAAGCTATTTAAAACAAAAATGGATATACTATCCTTCTGCAAACTGGCAGTGAGAAGCTCTTTTAAATTTACAAATTCACATAAATAATGTCATCAAAATAAAATCGAATAATAACCAAAAGAAAGTTCATTTCTGATATAATCCTATATAAAACAGCTTTCTTCACTAAATTAAAAAATTTTAAGTCATGGTAACAATTGTAAATATACACATATGTATATACATATGTAAACTCAAAATTCTTATACTAATGTGTGCTCTAAATGTTACTGCATTTCTGTAAGATCTACCTTACCCTTGTTTGAATTAGTTAAGGTAAGAGAAAACAACTCAAAAAATATGGATAAATAGGGTCAACATATAATAGTATTAATTTAAATGTAAACCAGAAGTCACAATCAGATTGCTGTGACAATGAAGTAATAATTTCTTTGCCCTTAAAAAAAATTCAACCAGATTTTTAGATCTGTTTCTCAAATCCTTTACTGCAATTATTCTATCAGACATTAAAATTTTTGACAATTTTATGGCCGTTGTTTTAATTTTAATTTTCTTAATTCCTACTGACGGTTAGCATTGTTTTTGTGTTTATTTGCTATTTATCTTCTACATTATCTATTCCTCTTTTAACCATTTCTATATTATCTTTTTTAAATTACTGTATCTTTTACTTGTAGGTTTATGTGGGTTGCTTTTTTCACTCTTTTGTGGTATCTTTTGATAACCAGTGCTTACATTTTAAAGTAGTCAGATTTGTTAATTATTTCCTTTAGTATCTAGTCAATTTTATTAATCATTTCTTCTAGCTTATACTTTTGTGTATTAATAACTCCTTCTCTACCCTCTCATAAATATATTATCCAATATATGTAACTGTAAAGTTATTTCCAACTTTAAAGTCTTTTATCCACTTGGAATGTATATTTTATAAGTGATTCCCTATAACTATTTGATCTTACATAAAAATTGTAAAGTTACTTCCAATTTTTAAATCTTTTACCCATCTGGAAGGTATTTTATGTGTGATTCAGTATAACTCTCTGATCTTATCTTTTGCCATATGGATAGCTGACTGATCCATGACCTTTCTTAACTAATGATAATATCATATAAATTATATGCATCGCCCCACAAATACACTCTCTCATCATTATATGTGTTTATCTCTACATTAGTACTATATAGTTTTGATTAGTATCTTTTTTTTTTTTTTCATTGATTTTTAGAGAAAGAGAAAGGGAGAGAGAGAGAGAGATAGAAACGTCGATGAGAGAACATCAACTAGGTGCCTCCTGCTTGCCCCCCATCAGGGATCAGGTCCACAACCTTGGCATGTGCCCTGATGGGGAATCAAACTGGTAACCTCTCAGGTCATGGGTCAACGCTCAACCAGTGAGCCACACCAGCCCGGTTAGTTAATATAAAGCATAGTATTTGTTATGGTGATCCCAATCTTTGTCATCTGGTTAGTTTTTTTAGCCTTCTACTCTTCCACAATTTTTTATGAACAGCTGACCAAAAATCCCTTTATATTTTATCCAGAAAACTTGCTTACTTTTTTTATAAGAATATTTTATTTAATATTTATTTATTTAATCCTCACCTGAGGACACTTTTCCATTTTTTGTTCAGATAGATTGAGAGGGGGAGAGAGAGAGAGAGAGAGAGACAGAGAAACATCGATGTGAAAGGGACACATCAAGTGGCTGCCACCCGCATGACCCAACCAGGACCGGGGACAAACTATATGTGCCCTTAGCAGGAACTGAACCACAGGCCGACGCTCTAATAGCTGAGCCAAACCGGCCAGGGAAAGAAAACTTGCTTACTTTTATTAACTGTTGTAGTTTGTCAAGATAGTACTGGATCTCCCATGTAGCTAATCCTATAGCAAGTAAAATGGCAATTTGATTTTTATCTTACTTATGTGTTTGTGAGTACCTCCAGTAGAATGCTAAATAAAAACAGTTATAGTGACCATAGTGGGTTTGTTTCTAACTTTAAAGAGAATGTTTTTAGCATTTCACCTTTAATTCTGAGTCTTTTTTCTTTCATTCATACATTCATTTTAAGTATGCTTCATTATGTCAAGAAAATTCATTCCCTTATATATCGTTTACTCAAAATTTTCATAACAATACATATCCACTTATTTTTAAATAAACATGTTTTTCTCTCTGAATATGTTATGTGAAGATACAATATTTTCTAATGTGAAACCATCTTTCCACTTCTGCGATTAAACTTATAAGATATGATAATTTTTAAATACATTAATGGTTTCATTTACAGCTATTTATTTTAGTATTTCAAATATATACCCATAAGTGAAATCAAGCTACTACTTTTCAACTTCATACAATCCTCATAAAATGAGTTAACTTTTTTCTGTTCTTTGAAACAATTTATATAAAGTACACATTATTTGTTCCATATAATTATAGAAGAATTCACCTATCACAGGTCTGGGCCTGATGGATATGAGTGAAGGTGCTATTTGGTTTCTAATTCAATCTCTTTAATGGCTCTAAGTCTATGTAAATTTTGTATACCTCCGAGTCCATTTTGGCAATTTGCATTTTTTTTTTTTTATCCTCACCCGAGGATATTTTTCCATTTTTTTTGTACAGATAGAGTGGGAGGGAGAGAGAGGAAGGGAGAGAGAGAGAGAAAAACATCGACGTGAAGGGACACATCGAGTGGCTGCCACCCCCATGACCAACCAGGGCCGGGGACAAACTGCAACCGAAGTACGTGCCCTTAGCGGGAACCGAACCCGGGTCTCTCCGGACCGCAGGCCGACGCTCTAACCGCTGAGCCAAACTGGCCAGGGCCAATTTGCATTTTGTAGGAAATTTTCCAAGTCTGTTTTCAAATTAATT